AATACTTGCGCGCAATAATTTATCAATAATATATATATATATATACATAAGAATCTAGCAATATAATAATATGAAACCATAGTAAATATAGAGCAGTATAATGACGTAATCAAAAACGAAGTTCTTGTCGTGCCCGTCGCACGCAGACCAGCCGAGCAGAAGCGTCGACTCAGCATTTGTTTTGGATGAGTCTGGGCCAGTTCTGTGCCCGAAGCCGTTAAGGCAAGAGGAGCTGCACGAGGTCTTGGTGCTGCAGGACCGTGAGAGTTCTTGCATGTTGGGGCCTCCGTGCTTCTTTTCGGGATGTTAGAGTCCAAACGCTCCTGAAATCGCCAACCCCCCCCCCCCCCCCCCCCCCCCCCCCCCCCCCTTCCTCCCAGGAGTCAGCGGCACGCCTGCGCCAGGACACGGCCGCAGAGCGGCTGCGTGGAAAAGCGTGGGAGGACGAAGGGTGACCCAAACCTCTAGTCTCATCCTGTAGGTGCTGCGTTTGAGCGTTTGAGGCTGCGGCAGTCCCTTCTGCAAAAGGTTCGGGCATCTGCCAACCCCCCAACCCCGAACCCTCAGTACAGGACCCCGAAACCTCGGAACCACCCTCACAGTTTGAGAGGACAAGCTCAGGCGCTCCACAGAGGAGGCAAAGGAGCTGCCACTCGACAGAGGTGGCGGGTCTTTGCCCTAACCGAGAAGAAGGAACGCGGGGGGCGTGGGGTGCAGAGATGAGGGGCTTTCAATGGCGATTTTCTGTCAGGGCTAAGCAGCTCTGGTTTCTCGAAGCCATTGTATTCCCAACGCCCTGAGGGTTGAGCCCCACACCCTAAACCCGAAACCCTAAACACCCTAAACCCTAAACCCTGAAGCAGCCCAGGCGAAGGAGCATCCGGGACTCTGAGGGTGTGTGCAAGGAGCCCCCAGGGGAGGTGTCGGGCGATTGATCCCATGACCCGTGCACGCGAGCCCTCTTCCGGCCCTGGCAGGGGTTGAGGGTTTAGGGTTTAGGGTTCAGGAGGTTCATGGGTACTTATAAGTAGGGTTACAAGCAACCGAATCAGGCTTTGATTATGTCCGTGCATGCCAGTGTGAGAGTCCAGATGAGGCTATGACTCTACTTACCATACCCATGACCCGACTTAGAAATACCGATGAACCTCCAAGTAAACCCTAAACCCCTAACCCCTAACCCCTAAACCCTAAACCCTAAACCCTAAACCCCTTCCGCCCCCTCCTTCGGAGAGGAGCGAGAGGCAGCCCTGCAGCGGGTGAAGCAGCCGAAGAACTCGGAGCTGGTTGGGCTGAAGGCATCTTCAGGGAAGCTAGGAAGGTGCTATTGCTGTTGCTACTATCGACCATTGCTTGTAATGATTTTTGCGACTCTTCATTTATTTTCAGTAGTACTACAATAGTAGTAGTCTTCGTCGTCCTCCTTCTGCTACTCGTACTACGCCTGCTATTACTACTACGACTACTAGTGGCCGGCCTGCCCCTACAACCCCCGAATGTTACTATCGTCTTTGCAGGAGCGTCCAACCCTGCGTCCTCGAGTCATAGCAGTCCCGCATGACCCGGTCCAATGAACAACATTGAGATGATGGGGCACGGGCTAAATTACGGACGGCATGTGCATATGGTGGCTACCCATGTCATGAAGGATCTTCATCATCCACTGTAGTGCTGCTTGCAGCACTATTGCAGTAGCACTGCTCGTGCTAGTGCTTCTGCCATTCTTTAATTTGTTATTCATTATTGTTTCGACTGCTATTGCTACTATTGCCGCTGCTGCTGCTGCTGCTGCTGCTGATGCTGCCGCTGCCGCTGCCTTACTTTGTACACGTGAAACTTGAGAGGGAAGCACCCTTTACATCTCAAGGGCGGGCGGGAAGCTATCATTTCCGAGACACCCATGGGCTTTCTCTGTCGTTCTGCAGGGGTGGGATTTCATTTGGGAGTGGCCGAGCTATTCTTCTTAGTATGACTACTATTCTTGTTCTTCTTATTTTTGTTATGACTATGATTATGATTATTGTGAGTACTATTTGCAGGCCGCCTTCGCCTCGGCTGCCAGCTCTTCGTGGCTGCGCGAGAGCTTCTCAGACTTAGGGAGCAGCCTCCCGGCTGCACGAGAGCTCTGGCCCTGAGGGCTGTGAAGCCTTGCATCCCAAGCCCTGAACCCTGCATCTTTAAACCCGACATCCGAAAACCGCCCCCAAAACCCTCCGTCCGAACCTTGCAATGTGGGCGTACAGTTCAGCTAGGCGGGCGGCAAAAGAACAAGCCCAAGGTTCAGATTGCTGTGTCCTTGAGTTGCAAGTTGTAAGCCCTAAGCCCGAGATCCTTCCTCTGAATTCTCAAAAAGCCGCAACCCCGAGCAGTTTTGAGGCTTGGCGAAGTCTCCTGCGTCCGTGTCGTCGGCCGACCGCCGGCAGCGCCTTGCAGCAGAGCTGCGTGCTGCGGAGACGTTGCGGCCTGTCCACCAAGCAAGTCGGCTAGAGGGTTTAGGACATCGGCTTATGCAGAAGGCGGTAGCTTTCTTTTGAAGGTTCAGGGTTTAGGAGCCGTAGTTGTAGTTGAGGGCTTTGATTCGATGGCGGACGCGGCGCCTCCCTTTCCCACCGGAGGGCTTTGGCTGCCCGAAGCCTTGAACCCTAAACCCTAAACCCTAAACCCTAAACCCTAAACCCTAAACCCTAAACCCTAAACCCTAAACCCTAAACCCTAAACCCTAAACCCTAAACCCTGAGTAAAAAGCTTCAAAGGGTTGGCTGAAAACTGAAGTGTGGGGGTCATGTCAGGGCGTCCCCTATTCAGCCCGGGTGTGAGACATAGAATGGAGGCCCAAAGGGTGCACAACATACCATGTTCGTATACATGTGATGTTTTTTTTTGTCATTTTTTGTTATTCTTAATCTTGTTTCTTACTCTTATTCTTATCATTCTTAGTATTGTTCTTCTTATTTTCCTTGTTTTTGGTACGATGATCAAGATCAGCAAATGCCTGAGGTATGCCAACACCAAGCTGGACGTCTCCGAGTCTCGGCTCAAACTTTGCAGGGCCCAGGAGAAGAGATACACCACATTATTGTACATACACATGTTTTATTTTGCTAACGCTAGTATGATTGATATTATTACTATTATTATTGATATATCATTGATATTTGTTACTATCATTCTTACTATTATTATTATCGTTATTATTCTTATTATTATTGCTGTTCTTATTGTTATTGTTTATTATGATATTCTTCTGATTATTATTAGTATTACTATTCTTATTCCGTTATTATTATCATGATGTTATAATTCGTATTGTTCCAATATAAATATCATTCTTCATGTTCTTAGTAAATAAGTGGTTAAAATTGTTAATGTTGCTTAGTGGCTCCGTTGGATGGACGCAACGTGTTGTTGCCCTCGCACAAGCTAGTCCTCGAAACCCTGCACCGTCAGCCATACGCTTTCAACCTTGGGGTTCGTGCTGCGTCGAGTCCGGGCCGGGCCTCCGCGCGATACCTCTCAGCAACTCAACTCGGGAGCCTTTCAGGGAACTTGCCTCCTTGATCAGCAGCCCCACCTTTGCAGCACAAGGATTTAGGGTTCGCGGGAGTGCTGGTGTCGTGTTTTTTTTTTTGCTGTGTTCCGATGGGCACACAAGGCCTCTGGCAAAAGGGTGGCGAGTGCTGCAGATGTCTCGTCGGAGCGTCGTGGGTGAAGGGCCGCACTTCTTTGGGCACGCGTAGGATTGAGACTTTCCAACTTGCGAAGACCAGGAGATGAGATCACAGATACGAGCGATGCAGCTCGAGCGAGGCGTGGGCCGTGCCTCGGTCAACCACAGGTTGGTGGCGTGTTTGGGGCACCTGTTTTCGGGTTGAAAGAAGCCTTCCCCCACTTGTGTCGTTGATAAATCAGTTCTAGACTCGGCCAGGTTCGACTTCAAAGTTGAGCACCACATGAAATTCACAGGTAGAACAACTTAAGGACGGCCATCACTCCTGTCCTAGGTCCATTCGGGCTGAGGGGGCAGCTGAGTTTGTCAGCTTCGAATGTGTTATGGCATTGCGAATGGAAGCTCCAGTTGTGAGGGTAGAGGCTTGATGCTGAGGTTTTGCCGGCCCTCGTGCCCTCACAGCTGCAGAGACAGCTGCACCTGATCCGGCGTCTTGTCCTCCCCAAGCCATTTTAGGGGAACTTTCGGGGTTTAAGTCGGGTTGTAGGGGAGAGACTGCACGTCCAATGTGCTGCGTTGCTTTGGGGTTCAGGGTTTAAGGTTTAAGTAAAGGCTTAGGGCTTGCGATTGAGCGGATGCCAGACGAGCCTGTGATAAAACCCCAAGCAGCTCTCCAACCCAAAGGCCGCCAAATTGGCGGCCTTGAGGTTTTCGGGTTGAAAAAGGCTTTCCGGTCTCGGGACATGATGGTCCACACAGGAGCCCTGAAGCAAGAAGAGGGACATGATGGTCTGACTTCCTTTTGACACTTCTTGCACTGTCAGCATCTGCCCGAGCCGAGGATGTTTCAGCAGGCCTCCTCCGGCGGCGGCAGGCGCAGGCCTGAACATGCAGAGCAAAGAGCGCTGAGTTTTTTCCAGCCCCCACCTGGGAGCGTTCATTTTGTTGGAGTGCAGGTCGAGGTGTGCAAGGGCTGAAAGGCGCTTCGGTCCAGAAGGTTGCGAACGGCTTAAATTCCGAAGCCCCGAGAACATGAAGAAGCACTTGGCAAACCCCCCCAGCACCGTGCATTAACTCACTGAGATATACTGAGGCAGAGCCAAGAGCGTCACTATTATGCAAAGTCCTTGCCTTCTCAGACTATTGAGCTTGGGCAGCTCGGATAGGAAGCCAGCTCCCATCAACAATCCGGCCAGGAAAGGTTGCAGCTCTTCAAAAGACTCGGCTTCAATCAGTGTCAACCTCGCCGCTCCTGCTACATGTTGTTCCCAGGCGGTAGCCTTCGTCCAAAGAGACCTCCAAAGTGCACAAAGTGCAAGCAATTGTGCCAGCCATGCCGGCCATGTCCAAGATCTCGGCTTTTGCCACGGGGGCGGCTGCGGTTACCGCAGCAACCGCCTTCGTCGGAGTGCCACAGCCGGCCGGGCAGCAGACACTCCGCGGCACTTCGCATGGCACGTCGGGCGTGCAGCAGAGGTCTGCTGGAGCCGGTGCTGCGGGCATCGGCCTTGGCCTGGGCGCCGTGGGCTTGGCTGCTTCCCTCTTGCGCCCAGCTTCGTCGGCCGCCCGCGGCGGCGTCGTGCGCTGCGCCTATGATGCCTCCTCAGAGATTGGCGCGTGTGACCCCCTGCTGTTCTGGGACCCCATCGGCTACTGCACGGAGGGCTGCACCAAGGAGGACTTCGACCGCCGCCGAGCAGTGGAGCTGAAGCACGGAAGGCTCTGTATGGTCGCCACGATTGGTATGGTCTGGCCGGACATCTTTGGCAAGTTCGATGGCTACTTGTCCCCATCGCAGAACTTGAAGTTCGCAGACGTTCCTTCGGGAATTGCGGCAGTCAGCAAGGTTCCTCTCGAGGGCTGGCTTCAGATCCTGCTGGTGGCGGGCCTCATTGAGACGCAGCTCTTCAAGGATCAGTCCTTCGGGGGCTTTGCCTACGGCAACTTTGTCATAGTTGGGCAGCATTTTGCATTTTTAAGGGTACTTAAACCCAATAAGGAATAACAATACCAATTTTCAATATTGTCCCAATAATGAGCTAGGCAAGTATGGGGCCGAGCCGGGCAACTTTGGCACGGGCTACTGGGGAAGGAAGATCCAGGATCCTGCTGAGCGCAGGCTCAAGCTGACCACCGAGCTGAACAACGGGCGCCTGGCGATGATCGCGATGGCGGGCATGCTCATCCAGAACGGCCTCACAGGGCAGTCCCCGATCGAGCAGCTGCAGGCTGGCCACTACTCGCCCTTCAACGATGGCCAGGGCTTCTTCGCCTTCGACCCTTCCCAGGAGCTTGGTGCCTGCCCTCCTCTTGGGTACTGGGACCCTTTTGGCATGATGGCTTTCCAGGACGAGGAGAAGTTCCGCCGCAACCGTGAGCTGGAGCTCAAGCACGGAAGGATCTGCATGGCCGCCACCATCGGCATGATCGTGCCTGACCTCTTTGGCCGCTTCGGTGGCTACCTCTCGCCCAGCGCGGGCATCAAGTTCTCCGACATCCCTTGCACCATTGAGGCCATCTACAAGGTCCCTACCTTCGGCTGGTTGCAGATCTTTGCACTTGCAGGAGCCATTGAGGCCAAGAACCAGGCATTCCCAGAGAACTATGGCTACCCTCCCTTCTGGGGCAAGATCAACACACTTGAGCCCGAGGAGAAGCAGAAGAAGCTGCTGGCCGAAATCAACAACGGCCGCCTGGCCATGGTGGCCATGGCCGCCATGGTGGCGCAGAACGGCGCCACTGGCCAGTCCCTTGTCGAGCAGTTCACTACCGGCAACCTGAACCCCTTCGTCGGCGGCTACGCGCAGCAAGAGGCGGGGGACCGACTGGCCTTGCGAGCGGAGTTCGGCTCCGGCGCGGGCAAGTCGACGGCCCTTCCCTGGGACCCCATTCCGGAGGGCCTCACCAATGACATCTTCAACCAGACGTACGTTGGTGACGTGGGCTTCGACCCTGCAGGCTTCGCAAAGAACCAGCGCCTTCTGCCTTGGTACCGTGAGGCCGAGCTTGCACATGGCCGCGTCTGCATGCTCGCCGTGCTCGGCTACACCGTGCAGACGGCCGGCGCCAAGTTCGAGCCCTTCATCACCCGCTACCCCACGGACTCCGCCGACCCTTTGAAGGCCGCCACGCAGGTGCCCATCATCGGATGGCTTCAGATCATTGTGGTGATCGCCCTCTCGGAGCTCTGGCGCTACGAGAACGTGATCAGCAAGTACGACCAGGGAGTCCAGCCAGGAGACCTCGGCTGGAACCCGACGGCCCCCGTGGGCAGCCCGCGCCCCAAGTGGTTTGGCCCCACCTTCACCGCCGCATACCAGCCGGAGGAGTGGAACAACATGAAGCTGCGTGAGATCAAGCACTGCCGCCTCGCCATGGTGGGCTTCTTCTTCATGGTGCTCCGAAATGCGTCCACTGGTGAGGGACCCTCCCTGCTCCCCAACCTGGCGGCGGCGGAGTTCCAGTCCTCCGTCGGTGACTTCATCCCCAGGGACATTTGAGAGGTCTACGAACTATCTTTTCCAAGCGTGGAGCTGCCAGTTTTTAGGAGATTGACGCACCTGTACAGAAGGAGAACCGGCTGCCGCGGTGATGGGATGGACGGCCGCCTGGCATCCTGAGCGAGATGGTCCAGTAAAATCGGCGCCGGGTCTTTGACCCAAGACCTATCAGCCCCTGAAGCCCCTGAAATCCCCTGAAATCCCTGAAATCCCTGAAATCCCTGAAAATCCCTGAAATCCCTGAAAGCCCTGAAAGCCCTGAAAGCACTCAGCCGAAGTGGAAGTTTTTTGCCAGGCCGAACGCCGGGCCTCGCTTCGGCTGCGGAGCGTGGCGGAGGCCCTGGGCCGACAGCAGGCCCGGATTTGCCCGGATCCGGTCAGAGTGGGATTTCTGGGCAATCTTGAATCTTGATGCCGGAAACTGTGTGTGTGTGTGTGTGTGTGTGTGCGTGTGCTGAGGATGGGATGCAACAGGGTGATACGCCCTGACGGCACTTTGGGGGAGTCGTGGGTTGACTTCCCTGAGATGCGAGAGTCGACCGCTCGAGGAGGCGCTGGAGATGTCTGCTGCCAGCGACCTCCTGGCCCTGTCGGAGTCTTCGACAGGGAGTGCGCAGCGGGAGGAGGCGTGAACCTGAGGGTTTTGACCTGGAGGGTGGAGCGTCAGGGTTTGGGTTTGAGGGTTTCGGACTTGGGGGGCGGCAGCAAGGCTCGGAGGCAGAAGGGCTTCAGGTTTTTGGTTGGAGCTTCGTCAGAATGTGTTCTTGTTTTTGTTGGTCACAAGTGCGCTGCCGGAGGCGTCCGCGCACCTGCACAACCCCAAGGAGGACGAGCAGGCCGAAGGGGTCGAGGAGGTCGACGTGCCGGATCTGTCCGTGACTTCGTCTGTCTCCTACTCCTTGCCAGACTTCCTCAGGCAGCCGCTTGGTGGCAGAAGGCGGTTTGGCTGAGGCGATGTCGGGTGGTTCCGGCGGCAATTCAAAAGTTCCCAGATGGGCCGAGAGAGTGGTTCGATCGCAGGCGAGCGTTGGAGGTGTTTCAAAGTTCTCTTGTATGCTGGTGTCTGTATTCCTGAGGATTGGCTGGTGCGCCAGGAAAGTTGTAAGTTGGTTGGCATGGGCTCGACGAAGTGGTGCTTGCTAGTTGCATATTGCATGCAAGAATGCACATCCACAGACACATGCGCAAACATATACAGGGACATGGGATTTTGCACCTTCCTTGCAGTAGAGCATGGCGAGAGAAGGAGAGCTGAAGCCACTCGTCGCGCAATCTTGCGCGGGGAAGTCCATGCCGTGGCCGCTCGTCTTAAAAGGAATCTTACAGGGAACCTTGATGGCCGAAAATGTTGTTGCTATCATGACCTGGATGGCTGCTCCTGGCATAGTTTGCTGTTGACCTAGCTTCAGCATGATTGTCCGCAAACAGTGTATTCTATGGATTAAGGGACTTGGATTGGTGCAGTTCATCTCTCTGCACGTGTTCATGCTTAGTTACATGACCTGTTTTCTTTTTGACTTCGCGCACTTGACTGGGACATATTTGGACACAGCATGCCGGGTGCTGCCACCGCTGCTGCCACTTCACCTGACATTGACCACCACCGCCAGCAGCACCACCACCACCTTCCGCAGACTTTTGGGGACTTGGTGGCCAACCAGCAAACATGACCAGAGTGCTTGCGGGCGAATGGGCTTCACATTGGCGTTTGCATTGCTTGTCAGTCTCCAAGATGCACCTGAACAGCCACAGCTGTCGTTGCGGAACCCCGAAACCCTTCAAACATACCGCGCCGGAGATTCCTGGCCTGCGAGCCCTGTCCGACCCCCCCCCCCCCCCACACCAGGGCCTTAAAGCAGAAACCACAGCCACTGCCTTCAAAAGGAACTTGCTGCCTCACTCCGGGCCACCACGACCGAGACGGGCTGACTGTAACAGCGGCGCCGATTCGCAGAGCGCCTGGGCGCAAGGAGGATGTAGAGGGTTTATAGGCTTTCTATCAGTTTAAGGCTGAACAGGGTTTACAGATGTTACAGATGTTACAGATGTTACAGTATTTAGGGGGCTTATAGATGTGTAGGGGCTTCTAGGGTTTCGGGTTTATTATGGGTCTGAACTGGCTCTGTGGTTCTTTCTCAGAGGAAAGAGTGTTCTCATGCGCATCCCTGGGCAGTCTGAGGGAGTACAGCTGCCAGAAAGGGTGAACACCTCCTAACCCTTGGAGAGCGCATGGCTTCTTGCGGTTTAGGGCTTTGAGATCTGAGTTGAAGCTGGGTCCTGTTCGTTCGTGGTCCTCCAAGACTTTCTTGGCCTTCAGCTCCCATATTAAAATTATGTCAGACTAGGTGTACTATACCTTGTCTACGCGGCCGAGGCTGAAGACCAACAAGGCCCGCAACGACCACCGACTTTCGTCACAAAAAACCAGCCTGCGGACCTGGAACGTTGCCTTGCGCCTGGTCCACCTTCATCTCCGAGCAGCGGGCGGGGAGCCATCATCTGCAGTGCCTCTGCCGGCCCTTCGTCCGCGGGAAGCTCAGCTGCGGACGGGTTGAGACGAGGTATGGCGACGTCTTGCTAGTTCCGGAATGCAGGTAGTTAATAACCTCCTTTGACGTTTCTTTATGAGGGGGATATCCGAAATCCCAGGACTAGGAAGTAGGAAGGCACAGAGGCGGTGTAGGCTGGACATGAACCGGCTTCTTCGACTAAAGCTCGTACGCCCAAAAAGCCCACAGAATCCTAACCCTAAAGACCATGACCCCCTTCACTTTCCCAAGAACCTCTCGCTAAGCCCGAAGACCCAGCCGTTGGGCTCTGATACGCAATATGACGGCCGGCAAAACAAAACCACACATGCACCCTCTATGCACCTGAATCCCCGAACCTCAAACCCTGAACCCTAAACCGGGATATGGGGGTCTCCGAAATTAGGGGGTACCTTAGCGGGGTCCTTATTGTAAGGGGATCCTAGTATTTGGTGGTTTCTATTCGGGGTTGTATATTTTCATAAAGCCCCATATGATCTTGGGTGCTTAAGAACTGCGGTGGCCATGTGGCGGCTGCTTGCAGCCCTAGCGGCCTCGTGCGCTGCATCGTCGGCAGACCATTGGGAGCGGGTGAGGCGCATGGCCAGAAGCCCTGAAGTAAAGGCCCCCCCCCCCCCCCCCTCAACCTTCAGACCGTCAAGGAGACAAAGAGGGGGCAGTAGGATGTTTGTGAGTTTGCTTTCTTCGTCTTCAACGACAGCGGCTTTAGGGTGTTAAAGCTCCGTAGATTTGGGGGGGTTCTTGGGGGTGAGGGGGTGAAAATTCACCCAGCTGCCTTGGGCAGGGTGTCAGCACGAGACAGCTGGCAAAAGGCCACCCCAACTCATGCAAGCTTAGATGCCTGCGCAACGTGCCTTGAGGATGTGTGCTCTGACAAGAAGGCATGATTGATAGCCCTAGTACTTAGACTGCACATGCATTGAGGTTGGCCTCATCCGCAAAGCCATTGTGACATTAAGTCAGAAACCGCACACACGGACGGCATAGAACAAGAGTGCAGCATGTTTTGCTGACGTGGCCTGCGCGTTGGGACCAGCTTGTGGCGATGGCGCCAGCAACATCCAGCGCTCTGACGCAGGTGCTGGTGGCCGCCACAGCTTGTGGCATCGCTGCCTTCGCGGTCCGTGGTGCAGCTACATGGCTTCAGAATGCTTTGTTGTACCACCCTCGGCCGATTGCGGGCGATGCGTACTATGAAAAAGCCATTGCTGAGATGTCCTCCAGATTGCAGCAACAAGGCTATGCAGTCAAGGAGGTGGAGTATCTTGTCCAAAAGAGTCATCAGAAGGCTCTCCTGGTTCAACCAGAGGAGATGACAAATTGCCCTTTGTGGCTGGCCTTTGGCGGAAATGCCATGGTTTCAGCTGACTGGCTTCCCTTTTGCGAAGCTGTCCTGAGCATGAAGGATGAGCGGGCAACGGCGCCGTGCTTCCTGCTGGTGGACTACCCCGGCTTCGGCTTCAACAGAGGAAAGCCCTCCCCCAGTGCTGCATTGGAGTCATCCAAAGAGGCCCTGGCGCAGTTGCTGAGCGACTTGGGACATTCTGGACACTCACCAGAATCCATCAACTTGCTTGGGCACAGCTTGGGGGCAGCAGCTGCCTCGCAGCTTGCTGAAAGCCTTTCCCGGACTGATGCCCAAGTGCGGACGGGTCGGTTGGTTCTGTCCTCGCCTTTTCTCAGCATCGACGAAATGGCGGCGGTGTTGTTTGGCGGCCTCCTGCCACGCTGGCTCCTGCGTCTGCTGGTGACCCATCGGTGGAACAACGCCGAGATGGTGCCCACCGCAGCCGCTGCCGGCTGGCAGGTCTCCATAGTGCACCCACCAGACGATGAGATCGTTCCTTTCAAGCACGGGCAGGAGCTGCACCAGTCGGTCCGGGCCTTGGGCAGGGAGTGCGAGCTACTTCGGCCAAAGGGTTGTGGACACAACGACGTCCTATTTGCTGCGCTGCCGGCTTACCTCAAGCTGATGGGACTGAGCCGCTTGTAGCCTTGTAGCCCCCAATTAAAGCAGAGACCCCAAATGTCTCTCAAAATTGTCCGTGCTGGCGATCGACCAGATGCACGCGAAGTGAGGAGCTTTAGTGACGAGGCAAAAATTCCTGAATCAGTCTGTAACCATTGCTTCGGGTGCTTAAAGGTCCTTGCCTATGCGCAAGATTACGGGTCGGACTGATCACTCACTGGTGACTTGGGTACGGCTCTTAACAGACTTGCGTGGCAGGCAAGTGATACAGCTCCAGCCCCTCATTCAGGACTCGGCAAGCACTTGAGCTATGCATCCCCTCACCCTCTCATCCTCTCACCCTTTCACCCTCTCACCCCTCTGACCCCTCTCACCCCTCTCACCCTCTCACCCTCTCACCCTCTCACCCTCTCACCCTCTCACCCTCTCACCCTCTCATCCTCTCACCCTTTCACCCTCTCACCCTCTCAGCCTCTCAGCCTCTCAGCCTCTCAGCCTCTCAGCCTCTCAGCCTCTCAGCCTCTCAGCCTCTCAGCCTCTCAGCCTCTCAGCCTCTCAGCCTCTCACCCTCTCACCGTCTGACCGTCTCAGCCTCTCAGCCTCTCAGCCTCTCAGCCTCTCACCCTCTCACCCTCTCACCCTCTCACCCTCTCAGCCTCTCACCCTCTCAGCCTCTCACCCTCTCACCCTCTCACCCTCTCACCCATCTCACCCTCTCACCCTCTCACCACTCTCACCCCCTCTCTCCCTCTCACCCTCTCGCCCCCCTCTCCCCTCTCACCTCTCACCCTCTCACCCTCTCACCCTCTCACCCTCTCACCCTCTCACCCTCTCACCCTCTCACCCTCTCACCCTCTCAACCCTCTCACCCTCTCACCCCCTCCCCTCTCACTCTCTCTCTCTCTCTCTCTCTCTCTCTCTCTCTCTCTCTCTCTCTCTTGTTCACTTGTTCTTTTACTTTCTCTCTTGCTTTCTGTCTTGTCCTCTGCCTTGGAACTCGCTGTGCATGCCGCATGCTCGACAAACTCGTTTGGTAGGGATGCCCTATGTCTCGATGGCGTGGGGGGAGGACGTGGCCCTGGTGGTGGGTGACGGGCACCGCCGCCTTTTCCATGTCGAGCCTGGGCTGAGACTTCCCGAAACCCGAAGCTAAACCCTAGATCCCGTCCCAAGCCCCAAGCTCTCGAGTAAACCAAAACTGCAAACAAGAAGAGCCTAAAGCCTAAAACTCTAAAGCCTGCACCGGGCAAGCCGTCCTCCATGGTGCCTTTGAGCCACGGCCGGGTCCTTCAAGAAGCAGTTGGGTTCAGCCACCCACAAAATGCAGGCATGAAAGCATGTGATCCTCTGAAGATCTGAAAGCCAAGGAGCGCGGGGACATGACTCTGGAGAAGCCTTTGTGGGTTGCCTCGTCATCGAAGATGGTGCCTGGGCGGCCTAGCATGCTTTCGGGTTGTGTGGGTTTGGAAGCTGCGCATGTCAAGAACACAACCGCCACGTGAACAGCGTTGCGGAGGTCTTTGTGGTACGTGCCATGCAGATGGTGGAGACTTGGCCTGAGCTTAAGATGGTAGGCAATCCCAAGTCCCCGAAGCCCTACTTGCAATGCTTGCCTTGAAGGCATGTTCTCCTCCATTGGGGCATGTCGTCGTCAGTTTGTGTCCCTGAACCCTAAACCCTAAACCCTATACCCCAAACCCTAAACCCTAAAGAGTGCGAGAGCCGAAACCCACAAATCGAAAACCCTAGCGGTTACCCAAACATGGCCTCCACTCAGGAGAAGGGATGGCTTCAGCTGCACGACCCTGTGAACAAGTATCTTCCCTACTGGACACAAGACGCCAGTGACCCCCGTTCACAGGCGCGATTGCTGTCTATCCATGTGAATAGGGCTAGCCCTAAGATGCCCCCAAAGATACCATGGGCATTCTTACTGTGGGAACTCCCCCCAAACGCGTACCAGTGTTTTGGCACCCCATGTGCGTCCAAATCTGCAGTTTCAGTGGGACTCAGCTTAACAGGGTTCCAGGCCGGGCCGCTGAAACGAACAGTCGGCGTCTCCACCTGCGATTGAATGTGTGGTGGCTTATCGCCGAGGTCGCAGGTTGAGGGACGACGGCTGTATATGGAAAGTTGTTACCTGTCCTGCGTTCTGGCGCTGCTTCAGCAGTTGCTTGCGGCTGTTGTGGCAAACGGATCCAGTCTCGTGTTATTTTGTTTTGCTCGGCAAGTCTCCACGCGGTTCCCACAGATCTGCTAAGAAAAGAGGGCAGCTGGCACGGATTCGCGCGCGGTCTTGGTCCTGTCCCCGCGAGTGTTTCTTTGGTGTCTTGGCCGATAAGACAGCCTCATGTGTCCAGGTCACATTGTTCCACCTCCTCAGTTTCCAGTCCGGGTACACCTTCGGCCTCACAAAGGCGAGCTTGTGAAGCCCATGAGCTTTTCCCAGGGCGCACCGTAAGAAGCCACTGCCTTTGGGGTTTCGGGTTTGGGGCATAGAGCTTGACCGTTTGGAATCATATGCCGCGGATTGTGCGGCAGGTGGACTCGTGCTGGCTGAAGCCGTGGCTGAAGCTTTTCTGCTTTTCTGCTCGGCTTTGGGATGCTTTGGGTGTGTTAGAGGGTTTTGGGGTTGAAGTAAACTTCGTAGTCGCCCCAAAGCCATAATCTAGGACCTTTCCGCTCGGAACGCCTGGTTCCACTGGATAAGCATGTCATGTTCCGCAATCCTGGACCAGGAATCAACAAACTCAAATGATTCCACATCCATACCAGGATACTCCCCCTCTCCCCCTGTTTGAAGACCCTTCCTGAGCCCCAAATAACCCGTGGCCTCAGCCATGAAACCTCCAAAGCAAGAAAACCCCAAACTGACAGTGGAATTGAAAACTGACAGCTCTACCTGATGTGAGTGTGAGGTTTAGGGCTTTTGGATTTAGGGTGCCACAGCCTTAAATTCCCCCAGGTGAAAACCCAAGCCCACTGCACGAGGAACTTTAGCGCCTGCGTCGAGCGCCTTTACCACTCCCTCCCGCTCCACGCAGCCCCTGGCACCGTGTGGGACTACAACGAATTCCACAACCAGGTCTGCAGTAGCAGCTTTTTGAGTGATGCAACGTCTTTTGGCCTAGGAGTGCTGACTTCAGATGCAAAAGCATGGAGGGGGTGTTACAGTTCGCCCGGTGACATGGTCAGTTGGACACGCGCACACACATCATGCAGCGTTTGCCGGCGGAGTCTGGGCTGATTGAGAAGATGGTTCCAGGTGGTTGCGGCTGTCTTGGAGAAGGTAACCGGCACCAACATTCACACGCTCCTTTCAGAGGACATGTTGTGCAGCTGGGTAATCACTGCTCTTCGTGTCACTGAGTGTCGCCCGAAACCCTACAAACAAACCCTACAATCTTCGGGTTCACGGAGGACCTGCAGTCATGGAACATGACCCACAGCCGCTATCCGGACCACTTCGGGCCGGGGGGCCCTGACGTGAGCGCCGACTTGGTGACCACGGCTGTGGACTACGAGCAGCACCTGGGCCCCAAAGCACAGGGCCGGCTGATGTGTACAGGGTTTTTGGTTTAGGGTCCGGGCAGCTACGCAGAAGCCTTTTGCAAAAAGGTGCAGGGTCTGCAGTTGTTTTGGGGCAGATGTGAGCATGTGCATAGGGTGTGCGGAGACCATGCTCGTAGCTGGGTCGCGAGCGACAACGCCCTGCCTCTTCAGGTTCATGATGCAGTACTTCGGCGGGCGACTGCTGAAGAATGAGACCGTCACCATGATGGAGCAGGACCATATGCCTGCAAGGCGACGTTGTCACACTCAGCACCTGCTATCCTTTGCTGTCCTTTGCTTTGGGCACGAAGAATCGGCCGCCGAAACCCTAGAATTTAAAAGCCTTAAACCCTAAACCCTAAACATTTTGAAATGGCTCAAGCATTTGTCTTGGCTGCAGCATGAGTTCTCTCCAGTGTAAGAATGCTAGAATCTGTGAGGGTGTTGCGTCGGATTCCTGCTGAGTCGTTCGTCCAGCTATGCGGGTGCCAAAACGCGCTAAAATTGAAAAAGCCCTTAAGCCTTAACTTGAAGCCCTAAACCTTAAGCCCTAAACCCTAAACCCTAAACTCTAAACCCCAAACCCAAAGCCCTAAACCTCTAAACCCCAAGCCCTAAACCCAGCACTACGCGCCCAAGCTTCCCTCCCAGCATCCCCCGGGAGGTGCTCCTTGGAATCCTGCCCGCTCGTCATCCCGCAGGGCCACTATGGTACCTGGGTTTATAGGGTTTAGGGCTTCGGGTTTAGGATTCCCCTGCTGACTTCAGGAGTCTGGGTTCAAAAATATTTTAAGGGGCTGCGCCCATGGGCGGGCAGCGCAGGCAGAAGCGCGGGGCGAGCAGATCCGTCAAGGGTTTAGGGTTTAGGGTTTAGGGTCCTATGCCCGCCCTTTGGGGGGCATCATGCTCCTGATGCGCCCCCGGGGTCCCCCTGATGCGCGCCTGGGGGTCCCGGGCTGAACCCGCTGATGCTCATGATGCGCGCCCCTTGGGGGGCATCACGGGGCATCCGCGCCCGTCCCATTTTTCGTGCCTCAACCCACGAAAACCGACCGGGCCAGAGGCCAGCAAGGCTATTCCCGGGACGACCCGGGCTAAAAGGTCCGCATTTGCTCGGTCCTTGGGGACCTCGCGCTGCCCGATTTAAAGGCTGACGCCGCTGCCGCCGACCCCCGAGGTAAGCGCTGCGGATGAAGTATGATTGATAGGCTTGGCCATTCCTTCTGCCAGGCGTCTCTTCATGGGTTCTGGGTAGGGGGGGGGTGGGGTGCAGCCAACACAAAATGTGTGGTTCCATCTGTTTGGCCGCTTTCCAAAACAACAACAAAGTCGGTTAAACAGGGAAGGGGGTAGGGAGGGGGGGTAGGGAGGGGGGGTGGGGGGGGGGGTGGGGGGTGGGGGTTGGGGGGGGGTTTGGGGGGGGGACTAGGGGGGTAGGGCAGCCAACGCAAAGGGTGGGTGTGGAGGGGGGGGGGGTTGTGGGTGGGGGGGTAGGGGGGGTGCGGGGGGGGGGGGGGGGGGTGGGGGGGGGTTGGCAGCCTTCCAAAACAACCAAATTCGGTTGTTTTTGGTCTTTTTTTTTGTGGGCAGGCGGGTAGGGGGCGGGGGTTGGGAAGGGGGCAAAAGGGGGGGGGGTTGTGGGGGGGTGTGGGGGGGTAGGGGGGGGTGGGGGGGGGGGGGGGGGTGAGGGGGGTTCCAACACAAACGCCGTGGTTCCACCACCTTCAAAACAAATTCGGTTGTTTTGTCCTTCTCCCTGCGGGGGGGGGCGGGCTAGGCGGGTGGGTGGGGGGGGGGGGGCGGTGGGGGAGGAGGGGAGTGGGGGGGGTGGGGGGGGGGTGGGGGTGGGGGGGGGGTTGGGGAAGGGCAACCCAAAACAACAAGAGGGTCGTTTTTGGTGCCCGCGGGGTAGGGGACGGGGGTGGGGTGAGGGTAGGGCGGGGCAGGGAGAGCGAAGAAGGTTGAGGGGGGGGTAGGGGGGCAGGTAGGGGGGGGGTCGGGCAGGGAGCGGGGTGCGGGGGGTTGGGGGGGGGTTGGGGGGGGGGGGGGGGGGGGCATAGGGGGGGGGGGGGGGGAGGGTGCAGCCAACACAAAACGTGTGGTTCCGTCGTTTGGCCGCCTTCCAAAACAACAAATTCGGTTGTTTTGAGGGCGGGGGGGGAAGGCCGCGAAGAGAAGGGCAAGGGCGGGCGGGGAGGGCGGGCGGGTAGGGAAATGGGTCACAAAACGTTGGAGTATGGAGGTGGATTACAATACGCGTGGTTCCATCCAGGTAGGAAGCAAGCCGCGCGGGTCCATGGGGAAGGGCACTAGCGGGTCCAGCGGGAAAGGTACGAGTCCAGCTTCTTGACGCCGACAAAGGGGGTCGGCGGAAACGGGTTTAGGATTTAGGGTTCAGGTTGGGGCGCCCGGGTTCAGGGGTTGAAGGGTATTGATCTCGAGTCGCAGCAGGCCAGATGAAAAAGGGGGCTCAAGGTCCCGAGATGGAGGGCTCCAGGTCCCTTTCTGGCGCTTTACCCGCGGAGGGCTTCGTTGAGTCTAGGATGCTTCAGGCCCGGGGGGCTGGGATGGGATGTCTAAACCCTAAGCCCTAAGCCCTAAGCCCGAAGCCCTAAGCCCCAAGCCCTAAACCCTAAACCCCTAAACCCTAAACCCTAGGTCCCCCAGCCGCCGAGGCATCGGAAACTGGTGGCTGTGCCCTGGCGACCTGGACCCGCTCATCCACCGGACGAAGCTGGAGCCCATGCCCCAGCGGTGCGTGGAGGCGCGGGCTGGTTTAGGGAGGGGCGGTATAGATACATAGATACATAGATACATAGATAGATGTATAGATAGATAGATAGATATGTACACATATAATGTACTTATAGATATGTGGGGCTTTGGCATGTTCAGGGTCTTTTGGGGGGTGTTTTTGTTTGGGCACCGTCCGATGACTGCAGGCGCAGGTGCACTCGGACCAAGGGCTCTTTGGCTTCTGGCCCGTGTGGGACCGTCGGCTGGGCCCCTTGGGCAGCAGCACTGTTCACAGGGGGGGGGGGAGGGGTGTCGAGTTTTGGGGCCCATGCACCCAAGCCCTCGACTATCCTGGCGGCCCCGAAATCACCGAGCTCCCTTGCTTTGGGAGAGGAAGGCTTGGGCGGTGGTTGCCAAGGCTACTGGATGCTGCTGGCAACGCAGGGGCTGCCCCTCCTTTCCGACTTTAAGGTGGCTTGAGGGTTTAGGTTGCAGGGCTTAGTGTGCCTCGGCAAACATAATGCGAAGCTTGCACGCGGGTTTAGGAAGCGAAGTGCAGCTCCTAGAGTCCGAAACCCGCCAACCCTGAATCCCTAAGCCTATAACTTCTAAAGCTGCCATGCATCAGCCGTCCTAAGCCCGAAACCCTCAGCCCTCAACCCACTCAACCCAAAGTACTTCGCTACCCGCCTCCATGTGGATGAAGGCAGAGATTCTTCAGACGGTGCTCAAGCCTTTCCTGGACAAGGCCTCCCCTGAGCTTTATTGGGAAGATCTCTGCGTGTCGACAAAAACCTCACTACACATGGCCCATGTTGAAAACACACCGCAAACCTGCTTGAGGGATTGGCGTGCATGTGCGTCACCTGCTGTTCCTGGCGTAGCCTCTGCATGTTGTGCGATGTGTGCAAGAGTCGCTCCTCAAGCTCATGATCTTGTGTGGGCCAACTGTTGAGGGTCGACCTGTGTACTGGTGTTGGTAGAGCTCACCGTGTAGGCTGTGTGCTCTGGGTGGCTTGCGCCCAGCCAGCTGCGAAGTGTCTGTGTATGTGCTTCCCAGCTTTGATCAATTGCTATTTCTTGCGGGAGTTCTGCATGAAATTATGTTTGTGTGGCAGCCAAAGAGGCTGGCTGTCTAGATGTTTTATTGTGCTGGCACCTTGCATCATGGGGCCGGAGATTTTAGCAGAGGCTGCTTCTAAGGCTTAGGGTTAGGGTTTAGGGTTTAAGGGTTTAAGGGTTTAAGGGTTTAGGGTAAATAAACCCTTTTCAACCAGAGGCTCAAAGGACCCTTATGTGCAGATTCTTGTGCTGAAGACGCCTGTGTGGCTGTGCCAGCTGCGGGGTCGGGTTGCCTGAGGCCTCCAGAACTGCGCCTGTTACAAAATGAAGCTCATAGTAACGAGAGGCGCGGGCCAAGCAAGGGTTGTTCAAGGTAAAGCTACTTCTCCAGGCGTTTTCCAGTTTTGAGCAGCCTATGTTATCTACTAGACTCTTCAACGCAGGCAGTGCAGGAGCAGCGTGGCGCCACCCTGCCAGACCTGCCGATGCCTGACTGGGAGCATATTTCAGCCAAGGCAGACACAAAGGTGCTGCCGACCCTTGTAGCGTAGGAATCTAAGGTGTTCGGCAATGCTGGACCAGAGTGATACGGAGATATGGCCAGGGGCAGACGCCAAGAAATGATGTGTGGGTGCATGGCGGAGTCGGCACTTGCAAGGTGCTGGAATGTAGGAAGGAGTTGTTTGTGGTGGGGGTCGAGGGGGTGGGGAGGTTTTTTAAGTTCACACATAGCACTAGCAAGAAGCCATGGGGTGCGGACAGTGGAATGGGATCATCAGTAGAAGGGCTTTGTGCAGCTTCTCATCGGGGTGACAAGGCTGCAGACATGTCACCCAAGGTGATGACCCGTAGCACCAACTGCAGGGAACTGAGAACCCGATGCCGACCCACAGAAACCCTATGTCGTGGCTAGGACAAAGGACGCCTTCGACCCTACAAGTCCGATACCATCCCTAATTCCCGCCCCCAGAGCCTGGCCCTCTCTGAGACGAGAGCACAGACCGTAGAAATCAGGTGCAACTTCAAGCGTCGCGCAATATGATTCTCTCTGCCGAATGTCGCGCACAGTAATGGCCTCGTAGTGCCTTGCAGGGCCCTGCACTTATCAGCATCACCTTCAGGTCCTTCTTGGGTATTGCAGCACAGAGTATGACCGTCATGGCAGCAAAGGTCCGAACATGTCCGAGCTTAGCACGTTGCCAGCAAGAGCAGTGGCCTGTGGTCTCAGCAGTCGTGCTTGAGGTCCCCTTACGGTCTTCGATGCGAACTTGGCCGCTGGTGCAAACTACACGACGGGAGCGATAGCTGTCCACTCGAAGGAGTGACCCGGTGCATCGTACGTGGTTGGAAAGAGTCGGGGGGGGGGGGGACCAGCTTTTCCATAGGTTGGACCGGGTCGAATATCCATATCTTTCTCTATGTCTGTATCTGTATTTGTATCTATATCTAATTCTATCTCTATCTCTATCTCTATCTCTATCTCTATCTCTATCTCTGGCTGTATCTCTATCTCTAGCTTTATCTCTCTCTAGCTTTATCTCTTTCTCTAGCATTATCTCTATCTCGATCTCTATCTCTAACTCTATCTCTATCTCTATCTCTATCTCCATCTCTATCTCTATGTCTATGTCTATCTCTATCTCTATGTCTATGTCTGTGTCTATGTCTATGTCTATATCTGTATCTGTATCTGTATCTATGTCTATGTCTATGTCGATGTCTATGTCTATGTCTACGTCTATGTCTATATCTATATTTGTATCTGTATCTGTATCTGTCTATATGTATATGCACAGATACATGGCGTGAATGGTTCGACAGATGAATAGGTGGGCAGATAGGCAATTTGGCTGATTTGCACAGATGTAGGTCCCTTTGCGTGCTCTTCTCAGAAACAAACCCTGCCCTTTTCTGTCCATACGCCCTAAGCCCTCCTAAAACCCATGAGTCCCCGAAAACCGGGCGCTCTCTCGAGGCGGAGCTGTATTCACTCATTCTAAATACAATTAATGGTTTCACTTCGTATTATTAAGGTGTGTTGGTAATGACTGGACGTGTGAACAGAATCCCGGGCCGCATGCATTCCATTCACTTTGTTCATTGCATTTATACGGTTTTTGTAAGGATAATATTATGGTGTACGCGCTTTCTTATTCTTTTATAGTATGCGCGTAAATGCTGTACGTTACAATATTAATATTTACTGGAATTCCAACGTTAAGTTCATTATAATCTCCCCTTTAAATTAGCAAATTCATGCTTCGCGAGCGAAAAGAAGAGAAAGATAGCGAAGAAAAGGGAGTTTGTGGGAGCTTGGCAAGGATGAACCCCTGGTTGCCCACTCGCCCCCCGAACCGTCCCTAAGCACAGAAAGCCGTTTTGCTTGGGACTTGGGTCTGACTGCACGACCTCTTCTCGGCGTCAATGTTGAAAAAACCCTGTGCTGAGAGCAGCTTCAGGTCTCAGTTTTCTGAGTTTTCCGGTAGCCTCAGTCCGGTGATTGTTTTGGGGCTTGAGTCTAGAGGTGTGGGCTTAGCGTTCTGCAGGGCAGCAGGAAAGGATCGCAAAGCCTGAGGGCTGGTTCATCTGTGAAAAGGTTATGGTTCCGCGCAGGGCGTAGAATGGTCGACTCGGCTCTTGGTGTGCAAGAGCCACACAGCGATGTTGAAGGAAACGGCTGTAGAACACCCGAACTAAGCAGCCCATCATGGCGATGTATCGTGACCCAACGCGACCCAAAGTGACCCGACTCCTGCACCAGGCTTGCGAAGCTCAGGGTGTTGCTCTTGCTTGAGACCCCAGGCGTCTCCCAAACACCACCCCTCCCCGAAATCAATAGCCACTCATTCCGACCCCAATAGGGTTCCGAAGTGGGAGTTTCCGAAATTGAGGTACCCTGTTGGGGTCCTTCTAGAAGGGAAGCGTACACCTCCTCAGAAGCGCCCTGAATCCTAAACGCTAAACCCTACCTTTGAGTCGATGCTTTTTGGGAGGACCCTGGCAGTTCTGGTGTTCGCGCGCTGTTTCGGGGCGCTGGCATGAGAGTCGCAAGGGCTCCCCAAACAGAGGAGTCATGGTAGGGAACGATGTCGCAGACCGAGCTTGGAGAACCTTCTTTTTAGCCCATCTGTTTCACCACCTCAGTGGCAGCAGAGGTTGGAGGTCTGGGTTTTCAGCAGGTTGTGAAAGCCGAGTAGATTCACCCGCAGACGTCTGTAAATGACTTTTTATTAAGTTCCCCACCCTCGGTATGCAGTTGTTGGAATTTGGGTTCGCCATTTTCCCTTCCTCTCCTCGCCCGGTTTCCCACGCGGTCTCCTGGCCTGGTCGTTGGAGTACTTTTTTTCAGAGAAGATTCCGAGTATCCCTGGAGTGCCGTTTAGGGTTTAGGGTTTAGGGTTTGGGGTTTAGGGTTTAGGGTTTAGGGTTTAGGGTTTAGGGTTTAGGGTTTAGGTTTAGGGCAAGGGTGTAGGGTTTTCGGAATCAGCATCCGGAGAAGGCAGGGAGTCCCGCCAAGTATCCCCAGAAGCCCGCAGAGAGTCCCGCACGAAGTATCCGGCCCCCCCAAAGAAATCCACAGAGAGTCCCGCACGAAGTATCCTTCTTTAGGGTTTAGGGTTGAGAGTTTAGGGTTTTTGGGTTGAGGGTTTGGGGTTTAAGTATCTGTCCGAAAGGGGAGGGTGGCTCCCACATGGATGAGCTGCAGGGTGGCTGAGTGGAAGAGATGCAGTGAGTGGCCCAAACCTCCAGCCCACATCTGCTGTCTGAGCAGGCATCTCCCAGCATGGAGTGAAGTGTATACGCGCAATTCGTGCAGGGGCAGCAACCGATGTCTTGCCCCTGTCGCAGACGGAAAAAAAACTGGCACTCAGAAGCTCACCACAAACTTTCCGAAATACCGAAGCCATACTAGTAAGGACCACAGCCTATAAACCCCAAAGCTTGTACGCCTTGCGACATGCTGATTTCGGGTTTAGTGTTTTCTTGTTGCGGTGTTTTCTTTCTCCAAGCTGTCAGGAAGACGACGAGCCGGAGGAGAAGGTCATAGGGTCGAGGTTGAGACAGGTCGATAGTACGGTAAGGGTACACCGCACGACCATCCTTTTAAACAGCTTCGGGCTGTCTCACTCGTTGGACGCAGCGCCACGTCCGAGTACGCGGCCGTGCCTTCATGAAGCAACTATTAACTTCGGGTTTCCTGGTGGGCTCCTTCTTTGCAGTGGTTTAACGTGTTTTGTACTCCTGACGCCCTTGTGATCCCTTGTGCCCCTGCTGCAAAAGGCCGAGGACCGTGACGACTGGTCCGAGAAGTGGCCGGGCCCTTGGTTCTCAGGAGATTTCGGAGGGTCGGAGTTCAAGGTACAGGTTTAGGGTTTAGGGTTTAAGGTTTAGGTTTAGGGTTCAGGGTTTAGGGTGTTAGAGTGCAATGTTACGGCGTCAGGGTGCAGCACTGCAGCTTCCAAGATCTTGGGATGCATTGTTGGGGCCCCAGGGGCAATGCCCAAAGCAAGCACAGGCTACACTAGCGCCACACCGCGATCTGAGACATCAGGGCGGCCCAAACCTCGAATCCAATGGCTCACCCTTGGAGTTTAAGGTCTCCTTTCACATAGACCCTGCCTGCACCCAAATCGACTTTGGTAGTCGGTGCAGGCTTCCAAACATAGACCCTAGACCTTAAGAAAGTTTCCCCACAGCAACCACCGGGATACGCCGGGGTGCGGAGTAGTCTTTGGACCTAGCTGCAAAGCCCCAAGCCCCTCTGCCACAACGATGAGTTGGCTACCAAACTTCCGCATTCTCGGACCTCAGGTCCCAGCAGTATCTGCAAATGGCATCGAAGTTACGGCCTGAGATCTGGGGTCCAGAGAGCTGGTTCTGGGTGTCTTCGGAGCAGCGACTAGCATCATGTCACTTTCATGTCTTGAGCGGCTGAGAGAGACGACAGCAACATGCGGTTCACGATCTAAATCTGTTGGGACTCGATCTACTGTAGACAAAATTCGTCTTAACCGCTGCTGCTGGACGCATCATGACGCGTCAACTAGGTGGCCCTGTCCAAGGTCTGAGTTCTGTCTTAATGCCCTGTGTTGAAAGAAACCCACAAAGAGCGCATCGGTTCTGCCAAAGTCGGTGTCAGATTGCCAAAATCACTGTAAACTTAAGGTGCCATCACCACAAAAAGGGAATCACCTTTGTCAAAGCCGACCACAGGCATTTGACAACCCAAAGGCAGCAGCCACGCTAACCTTGTAAGGTTGTAGGGTATTGGGGTTTAGGGTTTAGGGCTTAGGCGGTGTAGGATTCCCAAGCCGATGCAGGCTGGATGCAAAAAAGGTCAAATAATGAAATCCTGAACCCGAAGCCCTGCACCCTCAAGGTATCTGCAAGACCATTGAGTCCTAAGGCCCTAAAGCCCTCTAAACCTATAAGTCCGAAACCCCTAACCGAAGCTCTCAAAACCAGTGAGCCCCTAACCCTCCAAACCATGGCTGAAACCCTAGCCCTAAACCCTAAACCCTACACCCTAAACCCGAAACCCTAAAGCCTC